TGAGATGCAGTGCGATTTTCGCTTCTAGCGTCTTATATGCGCGTGTTCATCGTTGTAGTGATCCACTATGTAAACTAAACAATGACAGACTATCATCACTGTCGTGTCCGTATATTGTTTGATATGTTTGTAATTACATCTTTGATAATGGCTTGAGTAAGCCGAAAGCTTAGATTATATTAAAAATAATGGATAAATATTGTGAATTTCTTTTTTCGGTTAATGATAATGTTATCAAACTTATCAGAAGATACGAAAAAATTTTACATAAAATAAATAGACAACACTTGTCTATATTATTTAATGAAACGTGTATAAATGAAAATATGCTGCCTAAATACACACAATATATATATATGTATATGATGCTCTCTCCTGCTGTATTGACCTCCTGATCCAGTTTTTCTTTCTATTTTTCCCTCTTTCTTAAACTTATTAACCGTTCGCTTGGAGGTTCTTGAATTGGCATTAGAGGTGGAAACCAGATAATCACTGAAAAACGCTTTGAGTTATTCAGCTAGAAAAGAAAAGGTTAAAAATCCTTTTGTGTCAACCCCTCGCTATGTCTTCCCAACTGAGCAATGGTAAGACAATTCCATACAGCAAATATTCAACATTTTTTCTTTTATTATATATATATATATATATATATATATATATATATATATATATATATAAAAGTGAACAAAAAAGTCAACACTTAGAGGCGACAGTCTGTTTTCATGTCAGGCCTGACGATTGCATCTAGCATGAAACAGACAGTCGCCTCTAAGTGTTGACTTCTATATTCACTTTTATATTTACACGCTCTATCTCTCATATTGAGCACTTTATCCCATAAATATAGCATCTTAAGACTATATTTCTTCATATATATATATATATATATATATATATATATATATATATATTCAATCAAGCAGACTTATATATATATATATTCCCTCAAGCAGACTTTTTATATATATATATATATATATATATATATATATATATATATATATATATATATAACAGTAGACTGTTGTATATATATATATATATATATATATATATATATATATACAGTAGACCCTAGCCTTGAATGATTATGGAAACATTATCTTAGGAGTCGGCTCTGCAAAGCAGTGGTTCGTAGAAAAGTCTGCTTGAGTGGAACTTGCATCTCACCAGTGGAATACCAAGGGTATAAGAGTGATTTACTACAATGTGTGTGGGATGGTGGGTCTTAGCCGTGAAGGTTATTACCGGTGGAACTGAGGAATATGGTCCGTTTGGAACTTTCCATTGAAATAGCAAAAAAGCAGTGAGACGCTTACTTTGTTTCATCTCCGGGAACGGAATTATAGGTTGGAAAATATTTCGTCACCGACAAGGACACAGAAACGTTAATAGTACTCCAGTTTCGGTCTGAACTAAAAAAAAAAAAAGGAAAAAAAAAAGTTTTTCTTAGAACCAAAAAGAAACAGTTGAAATTTCTAGGACATGAATTCTTTGCCAAAAAGATACCAGCGTTCACATGCATGCCTTTGGTGCTTACCTCCGGGATAAAATTCCAATGGACAGGGATTTGTCTCTCAAGGCCGTTGAGTACTCTTTCATGTCCTTCCGTCATTCGCTACTAAAGACTCTCAGCTATCTCTTTTTCATTTATCGCTCCCCATCTTCCCAAGATTGCAGTATTTTAGACGCAATATCTGACTGTATAAAAAAATAGGTCGCACCAGCATTTGCAGCCGCCATAGTACACAGGAGCCACTATTTCCGGATATACCAGCGTGACATATTCCCTCATAACAGCCGCCTACTAGCATCCTCTTCATAATAAATGTAAGCGAGTATTTGAAGGACTTAAGTTCTTGTTTGCTGAGAGTATAAGACATCGCATAGCCTCTTTGGCTCTCGTGATTAATAGCTTCTCTGTTATAGGGCATTAAAAATGCAAAACCTCTATTCCTCACTCTTCAATCGATTTGAGGTGTTATCATCCTCTGGTGATAAAACAATACTTTACCCATAAATTTTCCTCAAACTCTATTCTGGATTCATCTTGAGTATCCGTGTCCAACGTCCCGCTTAGAACTGAATGTCTGTTGAATGATATAACCCTTTCCATAGTTTATGCTATCATCTCTAACCTTGATCCTCACTAACTGTGTGGACCCGATACTATCCCTGTAATAGTCATTAAGTAGAGCGTTCTCGAACTGGCTCTTGTTCTCTCTAAACTATAATAAATGCCTCGCTAGTTCCTGCTTTCCTGTCTGCTAGAAGTCATTGTCTGTTGTCCAAGTTTTTTATGAACTCTGGTGAACCGTCCGACCAATCCAACTATCGCTTTCTACATTTTGAGGAGATCCTCCTAGAGGTCTTAATCAATGCTGTATTGGTTCATCATTTCTTATCACAGGGCCTTTTTTCCGACAAGCAATACGGCTTTGGTTTCTCTAGGTCAACTGCTGATGTACTAACGATAATTTCGGAAAAAGACTATCATGCTCTAGATAAAAACAATTAAGCCCGGGCTGTAGCATTGGACATATCGAAAGCCTTTGATAGGGTCTGGGATTCAGATTTTCTCCACAACCTGAAAAGTTACGGAACCTCCGGGAATATTTTTGAGCTGATCAAATCGTTCCTTTCAAATCATGAAATGAAAGTTGTCCAGAACGGCCTCTCGTCTACATTCTTTCGTACAAACGTGGGTGTTCCTCAGAGTTCATCCTTAGCCCTACGCTGTTTTTAATCTTCATTAACGAACTTCCCGATGACATCAGCTCTCAAATTAGCATATACACTGACGACACTACCATTTACTCCTACCTCTATAGTAATGCTGATCTGTCCGACAAGGTAAAAAGATCGTCCGTTAACTGGGGGGAAAAAAGATGCCTTGTCAATTCTGACGCCTCCAAAACCAAACTTCTCTCCATTATGCAGCTGAGAGACCTCTCTCTGCTTTCCATCAGCATGGCTAATATTAACCTCCAGGAAAGTGAATCGTTGCGCTTTCTCGGGCTAATGTTCTCAGCTGATATGAAGTGGAAAATCTATATTGAATCCATTGCTAGGTCAGCTGCTAAAAAAGTCTGTTCACTGTGTTGGGCGAGACAATTTTTCTCTCCGGAAATTATCTTGCATCTATAAGTCCGTGCTTAGAATATTGCTGCCATTTTTGCTCCAGTAACGCTGGTATTTACCTAAATCTCCGAGATAAGATCCAAAGAAGAATCAGTAATATTATTGGTCTTGATCTAGTGGCTCGGCTTTAGTCACTTGCCCATCATCCTAAGGTTGCCTTTCTGTGTATTTTTATAAATACTTTCATGGTAATTGTTCGGATGAGCTCTTGGCAATTGTACCTAGACTGTATTAATGTACGAGGATCATTCAATAAATAAGGTCAATTTTTCGGTATAAGGACTTCTAATACAGATAGAAGCTTACTTTTTTTTTTATTTTTCAACGTAGTCTCCCAGAACTGTCACACACTTTCCCCATCTGTGCACAAGCTTCCGTATTCCCTCAGCGTAAAAATCTTTGGACTGATGTCTCAGCCAGTCGCTCACAACACTTTTGACTTCATCGTCACTTTTAAACTTCGTGCCTCTCGTGAACGCTTTCAAGGGACCAAACAGGTGAAAGTCTGAAGGGGCAAGGTCTGGGCTGTAAGGGGGATGAGTGAGCAGTTCCCAGCCCAGCTCGTTGATGGTCTGCACCGTTTGGGCTGCTGTGTGAGGCCTTGCGTTGTCATGATGCAAGATGACTCCTTCCGACTGATGACCCCTGCGTTTGTTCTTTGTGTCTTTCTTGTCCTGCCTCAGCAGTTCACAGTAGTTCTTCTGTCAGACTGAATGAGGTCATTGACTGATTCGATCACCTCAAGAGACCTCACTTCTGTAGGCCTCCCAGGCCTGTCTTCATCCTCAACACTGCTCCGTCCTTCTTTAAACAATTCAGCCAACTTGTAGACATTTTTTGGGCTGAAACATGTGGCACCATACACAGTTGACATTCTCCTATGAATTTCAACTGATTTTCACCCTTCGGCAACCAAAAACTTGATAACTGACCGCTGTTCAATCCTGGAGCATGCTTCTTGGTCGGCCATATTTGTTAATCGCCAAAACTCTCAAAGTTTTTTTTTTTTTTTAATCTGCAAAAGAAATTCAATCCATGTGAAAAAGAAGTAAAACAAAACAAAAAAATTAAAAAAAGTAATCTTCTATCTGTATTAGAAGTCCTTATACCGAAAAATTCACTTTATTTATTGAATGACACTCGTATGTACACTACTAGACTGATGGCGATATTTTATCAATTTACTGTTGAGCTGCCTAGATGTAGCCGGAACTTTTATACTAATAGTTTCTTTTCTCACACTTCACGCTTGTGGAAATCCCTTCGGGATCCTTGCCTTATGGACGTTTTTCATATGCAAAAATTTAAATGCAGTGTTAATCGCTATCTACCGTCTTCGTGATTACTTTTCCCTTTCTACTCATTACTAGTGTTCTGTTCCTAATTTATCCATAAACTGTAACCCCTTGCGTGTTAGTGGCTGTACTGGCTTGCTTGGAGCGATACCAATTAAAATAAAAACATAATCCGGAAATTGAACAAGAGGAATCTAAAGCTCACAGGGCAAATTGAATGCAAGACAGGCAAAGGGACATAGCGAGTAACAAATGTGTGTAAATGGATGGCAGAATAGGAATTGTGATCTATAGTACTTTGACAAATATTGCTAACAGCAAATAACAAAAGCTACTTAAGGAGAGCCTTGATCGCCTATTTCCTGAATAGAGACGGCACATAAAAAAGAAGCCTTTTTTTCTGGAGTGTATTCATTTTCGTTTTAAATGTATTTGATTAGAAACGTTTGCGGGATTGCATGTATTGTTGCAGCCGACAAACCAAATCCCATCCCCTGACAGGTGAGTTGAATTCTTTGGTGTGAATGTTAATTCTTTCATCTAACTCGCTACATCACCTAAGAGATGGCGCATTTTGTTAGTGTGCCGTCGAAGCAAAGGGAAGGACGAATGCAAGAAGTTGTAATTCACAGGCGAGACGTGGGCGGATATGTACCGGGAGAGAGTTGGTTTGAAAAGGAGAGCGGTTCTCCGGAGGGGGTGTATTTAGCTGAGTGATAAGGTCATAGTAGATTGGCTTGTTGATGATGGATGACCCTTTCTCTTTCAAGAGAAACGCACAATAGCTACAAAAGAAGATCTAGTTAAATCAATTTTTTTCTCAAAATCCCTTTCTTTTCTTTCTTCCTTTCTTTCTTTTCTTCTGTCTTTCTTTTTTTATCTTTTCCACCATTCTTTCCCAAAATTTTCTTTGTTTGCCTTTCTTTTTTTTTTCTTTCTTTCTTTCTTTCTTTCTTTCTTCTTTCTTTCTTTCTTTTTCCATCTTTTCCACCATTCTATGACCACCTATTTTCAAAATTTAGTTTTTTGCCGTTTTTTTCTTTCTTTCTTTCTTTCTTTCTTTCTTTTCTTTTTCTTTCTTTCTTTCTTTCTTTCTTTCTTTCTTTCTTTCTTTCTTATTTTCTTTTCCCACCTTTTTCCACCCTATTTTTCTTTCTTTGTTTGCCTTTCTTTCTTTTTTTCTTTTTTCTTTCTTTCTTTCTTATTTCCATCTTTTCCACCATTCTTTGACAACATATTTTCAAAATTTTCTTTGTTTGTTTTTTTTTTCTTTCTTTTTTCTTTTTCTTTTTTTCTTTTCTTTCTTTCTTTCTTTCTTTCTTTCTTTCTTTCTTATTTTCTTTTTTCTTTCTTTCAAATTTTCTTTGGTTGCCGTTTTTCTTTATTTCTTTCTTTCTTTTTTCTTTCTTTCTTCTTTCTTTTTCATCTTTTTTTCTTTCTTTCTTTCTTTTTTCTTTCTTTCTTTTGACCACCTTTATTTTCAAAATTTTCTTTGTTTGCCGTTATCTTTTCTTTCTTTCCTTCTTTCTTTCTTTCTTTCTTTCATTCTTTTTCTTTCTTTATTTCTTTCTTTCTTTCTTTCTTTCTTTCTTTCGATATTTTCAAAATTTTCTTTGAAAGCCGTTTTTCTTTCTTTCTTTCTTTCTTTCTTTTTATTTACCTCTTTTCCACCATTCTTTGACCACCCTATTTTCAAAATTTTTCTTTTCTTTCCGTTTTCTTTCTTTTCTTTTTTCTTTCTTTCTTTCTTTCTTTCTTTCTTTCATCTTTCTTTTCTTTCTTTCTTTTTTCTTTTATTTTTTTTCATCTTTTCTTTCTTTTTTTTCTTTCTTTTTTTCTTTCCTTTCTTTCTTTCTTTCTTTTCACCACCATTCTTTGAAACATATTTTTCAAAATTTTCTTTGTTTGCCGTTTTTCTTTTCTTTCTTTCTTTCTTTCTTTTTCTTTCTTTTTCTTTTTCTTTCTTTTTTCTTTCTTTCTTTATTTTTATCTTTCTTTCATTTTTTCCACCACTTCTTTGACCACCTATTTTCAAAATTTTCTTTATTTTCCGTTTTCTTTTCTTTCTTTCTTTCTTTCTTTCTTTCTTTCTTTCTTTCTTTCTTTCTTTCTTTCTTTCTTTTTCTTTTTTTCTTTCTTTCTTTCTTTCTTTCTTTCTTTTAATTTCTTTCTTTCTTTATTTCCATCTTTTCCACCATTCTTTGACCCCCTTTTCAAAAATTTTCTTTGTTTTCGTTATCTTCCTTTCTTTCTTTCCTTCTTTCTTTCTTTATTTCTTTCATTTTTTCTTTATTTCTTTCTTTCTTTCCTTTTTCACTTCTTTGACAACATATTTTCAAAATTTTCTTTTCGTTTTTTTCTTTTTTCTTTCTTTCTTTTTTTTCTTTTTTCCATCTTTTCCACCATTCTTTGACCACCCTATTTTCTTTCTTTGTTTCTTTCTTTTTTTCTTTCTTTCTTTCTTTCTTTCTTTCTTTCTATCTTATTTCCATCTTTTCCACCATTCTTTGACCACCTATTTTCAAAATTTTCTTTGGTTGCCGTTTTTTTCTTTCTTTCTTTTCTTTTTTTCATCCTTTTTCTTTCTTTTCTTTCTTTCTTTTTTCTTTTTTTTTTCTTTCTTTCTTTCTTATTTCCATCTTTTCCACCATTCTTTGACCACCTATTTTCAAAATTTTCTTTTGTTTGCCGTTTTTTTCTTTTTTTCTTTTTTTTTTTTCTTTCTTTCTTTCTTTTCTTTCATCTTATTTTCTTTTCCACCATTCTTTTCCCTTTCTTTTTTTTTCTTTTTTCTTTCTTTCTTTTCTTTTTTATTCTTTCTTCTTCCTTTTCTTTCTTCTTTCTTTCTTTCTTTCTTTCTTTTTTATTTCCATCTTTTCTTTATTTTCTAATTTCGTTTTTTTTTTTTCTTTCTTTTCTTTCTTTCATACTTAGGAATTTTTTTTTTTTCTTTCTTTTCTTTCTTTCTTTCTTTCTTATTTCCATCTTTTCCACCATTCTTTGACCCCCTAATTTCAAAATTTTCTTTGTTTGCCGTTATCTTTCTTTCTTTCTTTCCTTCTTTCTTTCTTTCTTTCATTCTTTTTTCTTTCTTTCTTTCTTTCTTTCTTTCTTTCTTTCCATCTTTTCCACACTTCTTTGACAACATATTTTCAAAATTTTCTTTGAAAGCCGTTTTTCTTTCTTTCTTTCTTTCTTTCTTTCTTTCTTTTTCTTTCTTTCTTTCTTCCATCTTTTCCACCATTCTTTGACCACCTATTTTCAAAATTTTCTTTGTTTGCCGTTTTCTTTCTTTCTTTCTTTCTTTCTTTTCCACCATTCTTTGACCACCTATTTTCAAAATTTTCTTTGGTTGCAGTTTTCTTTCATTCTTTCATTCTTTCTTTCTTTCTTTCTCATATAACTTCTTTCTTTATTCCCTGTCTACATTGTATATTTCCTTCTTTAGTTACTCGTTTATCTCTTCACTATATATAAGGTGACTCCCTCCCGAGAATTGACATCATGAAATACATGAAAACGAATCTAATTAGATGTCGTGTTACCTCCCACCAAAAAAATAAAAAAAAAACATTTATTTAACAAAATTCGAGCACGATTATCAAAGGGATGTATTTTATATAATCGATTTCACAAAGCTTCACAAATGTTCATTATGCGCCCCACCTTTAACATGACACACGTCCAGTCGGTAGTCCAGCTTCAGCCAAACACGCTGTAGCATGTCTTGCGTAACATTCTATAGCGCCTCTATGATTTTCTGATTAAATTCCTCTGGATTTTTAGGAAGAGTGGGGACCTGTCCTTTTACATAACCCCATATCGAAAATTACAAGGTAAACGTGCTTTTGACATTCTCATTATGACTTACAAGCCGGACACATCTTGCAGGTAGATTCTCATTGAGATAAGTTCGCACAGTCAACTTAGTTTTTACTCATTTTGTTAAAATTTGTTAAAAATCAATGGCACCGTCCATTTTCCTATTTATCGTTTCAATTCATTCTATCCTCCCAACGTTACATCCTTTCGTCTTTCCTTCCGTCTTTCCTTCCGGCATTCTACATCATATATTTACCTTCACTCCATCCATCTCCACATCCTAAATTTGTCCCCTCGTTCGTTTTTCTTTCGCGCTTTCTTAAAATTACTTTCTCCCGTCTTTTCTTCCTTCCTTCTTAAGCTATGTCCGTTCAGACGCCCTTCCATCCTTCTATGCTACATTGCTTTTCTTCTGTTCTTTTTTCAATTCACCCTAAATAAGGCCATAATAAATAATGCCATTAACTTGCAAAGACCTACTGGAAGTAAATGAGAAGTAAAAGATTTTAGAAGGATCTCAATCCTAAAAAGGAAACAATGGATAACGCTCTACTCTTGTTCAAATAACCGGGGAGGAGTGTGTGCCAGACGGTAGGCGAATCTATCTCCTTCTTGAAGAAGTTAAGATTGTAGCGTTCGATGAAGTATTCACGAGTATTGGCTAAAGTATTTTTCTCCCTATTCTTTTTATTACTAACCTCTGTGCGTTTTTTTTAACTAAGTGTTACCAAGAGTAATTTTTAACTTTTTTTATTTTTTTTTAATCAATCCGCCCCAAGTAAGGCGATAATGCCACTAAGTGACAAGTCTTATTACTCTTCTTAGTGTTCGTATATCTACTCCATTATTTGTAATTCCCACTGAGTATCTTTCCGCTGGATGAGTGGTGTGATGTAATGGATAACGGCTTTGAATGAGAAATGGAAGGCCTGATGGTTGGTTGATTGGTTGGGTTTTATGGCATATAAACCACTGTAGGTCATTTAATGCCAAATTTGGTTATATATATATATATATATATATATATATAATACATTGTACTAGTAAACGTTATAGCTGGCAACAGTATTTTTCAAAAACGTACAGCGGGCAACATTATTTTTAGACGTAGTTCATCACCATACCCAGTACGCGGATGTAGTATATCGTCATACCCATGACGCGGATGTAATTTATCGCCATACACAGGACGCGGATGTAGTTTATCGTCATACCCAGGACGCGGATGTAGTATATCGTTTTACCCAGGACGCGGATGTAGTTTATTGCCATGACCAGGACGCGGATATAGTTTATCGTCATACCCAGGACGCGGATGTAGTTTATCGCCATACTCAGGACGCAGATGTAGTTTATCGTCATACCCAGGACGCAGATGTAGTTTATCGCCATGAACAGGACGCGGATGTACTTTATCGCCATACTCAGGACGCGGATGTAGTTTATCGTCATACTCAGGACGCAGATGTAGTTTATCGACATACTCAGGACGCGGATGTAGTTTATCGCCATACTCAGGACGCGGATGTAGTTGATCGTCATACCCAGGACGCGGATGTAGTTTATCGCCATACTCTGGACACGGATGTAGTTTATCGTCATATCTATGGACGCGGATGTAGTTTATCGTCTTACCCAGGACGCGGTTGTAGTTTATCGCCATACTCAGGACGCGGATGTAGTTTATCGTCATAACCAGGACGTGGATATATGCTGGAGAAAACTAGGAGTTCACTGTTTACCCAAGGCAGGGTCCCTGACAGGTGCTACCACCCCGGGTCAGGATGGACCTGGGAACACCAGCAATTAAGAGGTGGTTCCACGCTTCCTCAAAACCTCCTGGTCAGAGGCCTTGCTGTTGGATGTAGTTTATCGTCTTACCCAGGACGCTGGAATGCCTGAGTTCGAATCCAGTTGGGTTCGTTACACTCACTCACGCACAGATTCTCTTGGGAAAAGTATGAATCCATCTTCACCTCCCCAGCTAGGTGTTGAATAGCAGGAAAGACTAGGTCTTATAGCCTTGGTTGGCTACCAGTCTGACTTTTCCACTCCTGGACCTCTTCCTGCTTTGATTGTTTTTTTCCAAGAGTATTATTTAAAATATCAATTTTTTTGCTGTCTATTTCTCTATTTCTTTTCATTACTAACCTGAGGGCTTTTTTTTCTTTTACTAAGTGCCACCAAGAATAATTCTTGACATTCTTTTTTAATCAAATCGCCCCAAGCGAGGCAAAAATGCCTCTAAGACACAAGGTGTTACTGGGAGTGAAAGACAACGAAAAGACTTTAAAAAGAACCGGGAAGAAAATCTTACATGAAACAAAAGATTACATACCTCCTAAACGCCTATCAAGACGACTGCCTCTGCATCGCTCCAACCAGATTTCAATATAGACACATTAAATCAACATGGAATCGTACCAACCTTAGTACGCAACATGATCGTTGATCAGCTTTTTCTCTCCTCTCCCCATTGCCGTATTTATTTTATCTTTTCTTCCCTCTCCCTTAGCGAAATAGCCGCTTGATTTTGTCTAAAGTCTGAATACAGTGGCCTCTCTTTCTTTTTAGGTGTTGGACGGACCGATATAACAACAGTTTTGGTTAATTTTTTTGTTTTATAGCAAATTTCCAAGCGTAGCT